AAAGAGTGATCTCCAGGTGAGTGATATTTCAGGCTAGCCCGTTCTACAGAAAGGGGGACTTAACATTTCTTCCACAGCTCAAAGGGGAAGCCATATAGGGCTGGCAAAGATTCCCCTGCTACATACGTGAGGTCCAGTATAAGGTCAGTGGAACTGAGATTTACAGGGATAAGAAGTTATCCCAGGGCAAAGCTTGGACTCTTCCTTGGAACAAGCAGCAGGCCAGTGGGGAGATATTCAGGTCTCTGGGGATACTCTGTAGATAGGTTTGTGCAGGCCCAGACCTGGGGTCTAATGAACTCAAGGAAGTGGTCAGCTGATTTTGCAGGCAGATCTCAGGGGCAGCTGCCATTTTCATTTGGTGAGCACGGTGGGTCCCCCCCATGCCTCTGATCTGGTGAGGGACCTGGGCAGTCCCGCCCCTCCCCTCAGATTACCAGATACCCCAAAACCACAGCTTAATTATCCTGATTAAACCTGGGGAAGCCATTAATCCATGTACTAAGTGTGGATTAATGGCTTCCAGAGTTTAATCAGGGTAATTAAGCCACAGTTTAAGGCCATCCCCATGGTCCTGGGCTGACTGTGGCAGGCAGCCAGAAGGCTGCAAGCAGCTGCACCAGGGTCTGCAGAGCCCTGGCATGGACCATTGCTGACAGTGGATGTACACACACAAGTCATACCAGGGCTCCACAGACCCCAGTGCAGCCACCTGCAGCCTTCTGGCTGCCTACCACAACCAGCGCACAACCACAGTCCAGCTGCCTTTGCAGCTTCTCCACCCTGCCCCCCGCCCCTCCCAGACTCCCTAACCTCGTCCCAAGTCTGCAGGGTTTCTCACCTTTTTCTCTGCATTTTTTTTTTCAGCAAGCCTGCCATTTTTTTTTTTTACAGAGCCCACTTGAATTCAGTTTCCACAAAAAACACACAATCTTGAATTCGATATGTCCCTAAGCATGAATCCTACGCTTTGGATCAGGGCAGCCCACACAGACAGAGGTCCATGGGTAGGAGGCCAGGCTTGCTCTGAGAACTGGGAAGTGAGAGCAGGAGTACAAGTAATCGTCATGAGCTTTTATCCAGCTGCAGAATGTCAAAGTTGACCTCACATCAACCTGCAGCAAAGGAACCCTTGGCTCCAGCTGCTGCATGGCTATTTCTCACGGAATTTGTTAAAAATAAACTATATGACCCAAAACAGCTTCTGCTGGGGATAATGCCTTCAAAGGCTGGGAGCATCAATTCCAACCCCCAGCCTGGGCACCTAGTTTCCCCATAAGAAAGCCCCTCAATCTTCCCCACGGGGACAGTGCTGGCCCACTAACACAGGGCACCAGTCCTATCCTCCTCAGATGAGGGATTGGGGTATGGCTGTATTAATGTCTCAAGTTTCCTGTAGCCTGGGAAAGTCCTAGCTCTGTGCAAGTAGGCAGGAAGGGACATGCAGTAGAGCGTTATAGCCCTCCTTTAACTTTCTTGGAGGAACTTCATTCCAGACTCCTGGTTGGAATGCTGTGTCCAGTAAACAGAGGGAATTCCCCAAAAAAGCCATCCCAGGATACTAGACTTTGAGGCCACATGTTTTTAATAGGCCCCATTTGCCCTTGGGAGCTCCTGGCCTGGCCTCCCTTCCAGCATTAGATAGGGTAAGGGTAGATTGAGACCAGATTTCAGCGAGCTAGGTCCTGACCACATTCAACACCAGTGAGTGCTGCAGTACTGTTCTGGTACTTACTCCACAGAAGATGGTCTAGGCAGCTATAAGCTGCCTCCTCGAAGCAAAGCACAACCTCAGCTTAAAAACACCTAAGTGTCACTCTGAGAGGCATCCATAGCCGTTTGGCACCTCTACTCTGTTCTGGGTTCTAGAAGCACAGCTGGATGGACAGCTGCTGTGGGGTCCCCTGTTCTGCACCAGTTCCAGGATGCTAAAGGATGGAGTACCCAGTGAGCAGCTCTGATGCACCAGGTTACAGACAGTGGAAGCACAGAGGAGGCTACCAATAGGGGCTAGAGAACTGGGCTATACTGCTACCGAGTCAATGCTGTTCCTGTTCTTCCCCATGCAGGGATTGGGGGTCTGGGCTAACAGACATCTATCTGGCCTTGATCTGAGCGAAGAGGAGATAATTCCCCCAGAGTTCCCAGCTCTTCCCCAGCATCTGCAAGTGATGACAAGCAGGGATGGATCAGAGAGAAAAACAGGAGAGCTGGGGGGAAGTTGGAGAAGATATAAAGGTTAATGCAGGAATGAGGGGATGGCAACCGAGTCCTGCGCACCCCTCTCCCATTCACCCACAGCATGCATGTATGCCAGGAACAGAACGTGGCATCTTATTAGCAATATTCACTGACTGCCTAGAAAACACTGGAAAAAGTACCCACACCTTGGGAATTTGTTTCCCAACTATCACCACCAGGGCATGGACTCTCATTCAGACGGGGAGCT